AAACTTCGTCATAGCAGTGACATCCGAGACGCGAAAAGACATATTTATACATACATATATAAAAAAATATCTATCGATATTAAGACATTTTAGACCCTGCACTGCTAAAAGAAAACACTGGACCTTATTCGAGATTTACGAGCAGAAAGTATGTAAACTTTACGAAAACAAAAACCCTTCTTATGTAAATCGCTGCATTTAATTAAAAGAAACAATTTACAAAACTACATTAGAAATTAAACAGGCATTCGTTCTACTTCTGTTTTATAAATGAGGTGGACAAGATGGTCTTCAGTTAATTTCCATACATTAAATAACTGCATACATTGCATATCGTTACTTATTGCCTGGCGTATTTGATTACTCCATCATTAATATACATACATACACACGGATCTGCTTTATGATACAGCCTGTATGACAGCAGTTCCCTCACTGTAAATGTGCGCGGATCTGATCTGAAGTGTAAGGAAAAGGGAAGGGCGGGAGAGGATTTCCCTTGCACTGGGTGTGAAAGGACTCAACTACGTAAAATATGTCATAATATTTGCTCGTTCTGCATGCACGTCTTTGTTTTTTCATTCAAGATACCAGAAGTGTGTCTCCATCTACTGGCAGTGATCACAAATAACACACGACTATAACTGCACTACAGGTTTCCTCCTCAAGGGGGCGCTTTGAGTTACAGAAATATCTCTGCTTGAGCTCAAACATTCGATTTTATCTATTCAACACGAAAATAAATAAAATAAAGAAACTAAGTTTTACCATGCTATTGTCAGATTTTATGCAGATTTGCTGGCTTACCGTCCCTGTAAACGCTAAGCTGAAGAAAAAGGTACTTTACCGTTCTAATTCAATTCAAACGGGCTAATTTGCTAAACCAAGGGGATTCTTTTAAATTCTCAGGTACCTCAATCAGAGAAAATGTGTTGTGCGTCACGAGAAGTGTTAAGATGTATGTTTAACAATCAAACAGTATCCAGTTTACCCTGGTACACGAAGGTAATGAGTCTGCATGTTTGTATTCAAACAGTCTTGACTAGGGATGTAACGATTAACCGCGAGCCGGTTGAAAATCGATTCAAATATGTGATGATTCAAATCGGTTGAGACGCTAAACAGAATCTGCGTCTCGTTCAGCTCGTCTGCTGTTTCGGTTTCATGCAGATATTTTTATGTATAGTTTCACAAAACTGAAGTCAAACCATTCTGTTTTTGCTTCAAATTTCGAAATTATACAATCTAATTTAGATTAAAAACTGCTCATGTTGCATGTATGCAGCATCTTTGTTTGGATCATGATTAAAATGCAGCGGTTGCCTCTAATTTTAAATGGAAAGAGCACGGACAAAGCCTTATTTCGTTTATATGAAGAGATTTCTTTATTTGTGTTACTTATTTACAGGGGTGTGAAGTAACGAATTACAAATACTCACGTTACAGTAATTAAGTAGTTTTTATCAGTAATCAGAACGCGGTCACGCAAGGGCGTTCCCAAAGCGACTCGACGCAGCTCGAGTTCCTGAAGGGGAACTTTAACCGCCAACAACTGTTTATCATGGCTGCTGGAAGCGCATTCTTTAAGCATCAATTCAGTCGCATCTTCCTCTAACTTAATATGTTAAGGTAAATTTCGGATTTCTGCTTACTAAATGATTTGTATATATGCTTGCCTATCTACACGGCCTGAAATTTGGTGTGAGGTGAGGTATTGCGTACAATGTTAACTCCCGCAAGTGCCACGTTCAGTAAATTCCCACTCATTTATGAGAGCGCGATCTGCGCTGCCTCGTCTCTCTCTCGCGTGCGTTCTGCAGCAGTCACTTGGATAAGTCGTTGTTGCTTGTGGAACATGTTGACTTTTGATGAGTTTGAGCGCGTGATGCGAGCTGTGAAAAAGTGTGTTGGAAACACAAATTGAGGACCAATCTGCACCTTATTGATGACTCGTGGCGTTAATATACCGCATCTGTGCCAGCGTGTGATGTAATAAAATTCGTTAATGAACGTTTTTTTTTATATCCATTTTATACAATCCGCCTTCATTTAGCAAGTGCACTCGTTTGTCCAAGCAATAATAAAAGAACACATTTAATTTATAATTTGTCCTAAATCTAATTTTGTTAAAGAAATCCCGAATCGAATCGTGAAATCAAAACCTCGAATCGAATCGTGACTTGAGTGAATCGTTACATCCCTAGTCTTGACAGTTTAGGAGACGTCAGCCATTTCCTTTCAAGAAAATCCATCTTCAAAAAATGTGTCACCAAGACGGCCATCTAAATGAACCGACATGCCTTTCCAGGAAATCATGAATTTGCATACATTGAGACACATTTAAACTGATAAAATACAATAAACGTGTAGAATAAACACAATCCTGGACATACTACTAAATATTTTGTCACTGTCAGATTTGATCAAGTTTTTTTGACCTCTGATGTACTAACAGCAGCAAAATTGCTTTGGCGTTAAACAAGTTTAACAAGGAAAAACTTATCTGAAGCGAGCAGGTCAGCTCAGTTCTGCCATCTTTTGCATGCTCCCATAGCGCTTTGAAAAACAACACGACAGCATTTTTTTCTTAATTTTTATTCAGGACAAATACAGGTTTTTTTTTTTTAAACTGGAACAAAATGAAAACACTTCTCTAAACTAAAACCGTGTAAAGATTTGGGATTTAGCATACAGAGGGGAAAACCAAAGCAGTTGAGAGACCTTTAAGGCTTCCAGTCAAAATACCGAGCAGAACCGATCGTCAATATGTCTAACGTGTCAAGTGAGAGCGGACTGTACAGAGCAAACATGCCACAAGTATTTGATTCATTCTGAATGCATACTGACAGAAATAATGGTGGACCTGCATGTGCATCTACGCCAGCTCATAGCAGTGAGACCAAAGAAAACCAAACAAACATAACTGAAAAAACACGAAGGGTCCTGTGGAAACGCTGAAAAAGGGACCGTTTTACATTTACATCTTTATCATATAGGCCACTACATCTGTGGTTCACCTTGTTTTAAAGCAGCGGAGGAGAGTTGTCGGATGGAGGTCTTCAGATCTTCCTCTCGCAGCTGTTCAAACTCCCCCTGATGTACACAAATGGTCAGAGAAACTCCATTAGTGCGTGAAGCCAGACACATTTACAGCACAAGCAAAAACATTACACCAGATTAACAGTCTCATTTACACAGCTTTTTAAAAACTATCAAACCACAATTAAGCAAGAAATACATTGGATCACTTTTATCATCATCATCTTTGTTCTACACTCTTTATCCGTTTTCAAATGTTTCATCTTGAGATTTATATTTTTAAACAGCAGCAGCAGCAGCGATAGTAACTGCTCGGCTGCAAGTAAAAATGATTGAAGGCAAGCACACAAATAAAACCATGAAATATTTAAAAGAATTGATATCCCTCTTCTATACGGCCAGACTGTGACTCTGCAGGTGGCTGATCTTGCTCTGAAAGCATGCACTGCTACTTTAAGGACAACACAAGTAGCGAATTTAAACAAAACACGAGAGAGAAAGTAAGTAAAAGTTTACTTAAAAAAGACACACCTGCATTAAAACACAAGCTAATTCTCACTAGGGCTGAGCGATATATCCAATATCCCTGATAGAATCAGCAGTGATAGATAGCAAAATTGCATAAAAAATGTAAACCGTTTGAACCAATTCAAAACTGTGATTCAACATAAGTAAATATTAACATTTATTCCTATGTATTGTTATATTAGTGCATATTAGGGCTGACAATAATGCATTCATTTGGTGTGAATATTTACGGAAAAAAGTTCTGCTTAATTTCGCAAAAAAACTTTGTAATGTCTATTTAATGGTTTTAATTCATCTTTTAGGGGGTCATTTATTAGCCAAAACTGATGTGTGATTAATATGTCATGCATTTAATTAGATTAAACAAATAAATAATCACTTGACAGCCCTTGTGCATACACAAGATTTATTTTTATTTTTTTAATTCCCACTGTTTTACAACTTTCGTTTTGAATTTTGTAGCCATTTTGAACAGGCTACGATAGTGAAATGGTGGCTACTCTTATTATAGACAAAAAAACCTTTATATCAACCTTTAAGCCCATTTGAGAGCTAATAAATACATTCAATTTCATCAATAAGTAGGTATGTAACGATTCACCGCGAGCCGGTTGACAATCGATTCAAATATGTGACGATTCAAATCGGTTGAGATGCTAAACAAATCGCTATTCAATTAGGGTTAGGAGTTTATATGAATGCATGTCTGAGGGGAACTTACTGTGTTTAGAAAAGTTTAGATGGTATTTTTTCTTTTCATCTTGCCTCTGTATAATGCATATTGAAGTTCATAAGTGCAGCGCTGCTTTGTTTACAGTGGAAACCAAAGAAACGCTTTAAGCGCCACCTGCTGGCAGAGACTGAATCTGCGTCTCGTTTAGCTCGTCTGCTGTTTCGGTTTCATGCAGATATTTTTTTATGTATAGTTTCACAAAACTGAAGTCAAACCATTCTGTTTTTGCTTCAAATTTTGAAATTATACAATCTAATTTAGATTAAAAACGGCTCATGTTGCATGTATGCAGCATCTTTGTTTGGATCAAGATTAAAATGCAGCAGTTGCCTCTAAAATTAAATGGAAAGAGCACGGACAAAGCCTTATTTTGTTTATATGAAGAGATTTATTTTATTTGTGTTATTTTATTTGGGGCTTGTTTTAAAATTTTAATTTAGTTTTGTTATTTACATTTACATTATATTTAAATTTAGTTATTTAGCAGACACTTTTATCCAAAGTGATTTACAAATGAGGACAATAGAAGCAATCAAAACCAACAAAAGAGCAATAATATGCAAGTGCTATATTAGTATACTATTATAGTGTTATATTTCAATTTCACAAAGAAATGTGCAGCATTTTGTGCAAGCAATAATATAAGACAATTAATTTAAAATTTGTCTTATATCTCATTTTGTAAAAAAAAATTGTGAATCGTATCGTGAAATCAAAACCGTGAATCGAATCGCGAGTGGAGTGAATCGTTACATCCCTACCAATAAGATGAACTGACATACGTTTGCTTAGCTATATCACCCAGCCCTAATTCAAACCTATAACTGGTTACCGAACAGGCAAAATTAAAATAAGCGACACAAACAAGGAGAAAGAACTGTTTTGAGCTTGATCTGGTTTGATAGGTTACTGTGGGATATCAATTGGGCTCATCTGTAAACCTGACATCCACCCGTTATGGCGTAGAGTAAACCATTGGCACTTGAAACCAACAGAAAGCAAAACTGAGAACATTTAAAACTGGGAGAAAAGAGATAGGGTAAATAAACATCAAGCTCTGAGACACGTTCACAGGCAACAGCATTCAAATGGATGTGGGTAGTGAAAGGAGTACCTTTGGTGAATACCTGCACAGATTGACAGTATCCTTGATTTTTAAATTGGCTTTTCATGGGGGGGGGGTCGCTCACAACACCAACGCTGTGTGAGGTGTGGAAATCAGCTGCAATAATTCATTAACCCTACACTTCCATCATCCCAAAGCTATCGGATCTCAACTTTAAGAACAGACGGTATTAAAAAGTGCAACATATCCATGTAACTCCAACAAAAAAAATACATATGTATTCATTGCAGTTGAATGAACTCTTTGGACCTCTTATTAACACCTTATAGACATCAGATGGTAAAATGCTGTGTGCTTATGCATGTACATGCATATGAGCACACAATCATTTTATATGTGAAAAACAAAGTTCAGTCAACTAGTTTAATCTTACTGCGAGCATAGAGTTAACAGTTTGAGGTAGTAAAGGCAGAGTTAGGAAAAAAAAAAAAACATGTAAATTTGGAAGAGAACTTGTCTAAAGAGACAGATGTATGACCGATACAAAACGAGGTACCTCCAAGCATGTTTTTCAGGGCTACACTGGCCTTTCCCTCTGGGTTTGTTTCTTTCTACTTTCTTCCGTTTCATCAGCCTAGTCCCCATCTTCAGTGCATACTTACGATGCACTATTAAAAAACAGGAAGAAAAATCACAGACAGAACTGAAAGAAAAAGGGGGGAAGGGGAGAGGGGGAGAGACCCGGGCCGGACGGGACGGTGCACTTACCTGGGGCTGATCTGAGGTCCTATCAGATCAGTTTTAATTGGACTGTGTGTCACCTTCAGAATGTAGCTCTTGCGTGGTGCCGTTCACTTCCGCTTTGGGAGGCTCAGCCTCCATGGACTCGGGCTTGGAGAGCTCATTAGACTTTTCAACCGAGCCCTTTCTGTTGCTCCTTTTCTCATCTGAGGAGTCCTTGTGCTCTGTGAGATAAACAATAAACGGACATGGCTATCTGGGCGATTCAGAAATATAGAGTTAGAATAGGCATATTTGATTTAGTTTCGCAAGTCAGTTCAAACTCTTGCAATAAAACATTTCGAAACTTCTGATGTAACGATGATGAGGGAATTCTGCACGTCAAAAAAAAAAAATACACATGGAGCTACAGAAAAATGAACTCTTCAAAAGGTTCTTTATTTTACTTCCATTAAATCTCTCTAACTGGCTAAAATAAGTCAAAATGAGTCCTCTTTTTGGCAAAAAACAAAAAAACAGATACAACAAACAAATAAAAATTACCACAAATCAATCAAAACAAACCAAAAAATAAAATAAAAACGAACAAAAAATAAAACCCCAAAACAAAATGATACAAACGAGATGTTTGAGCTAAAAATTACATTTATGAAAAACGAAGAAAAAAAAAATGCATGTGCAACTACAGAAAAATTAAACCTTAAAAGGTTATTTATTTTACTTCTTCCATTAAACCTCTCTAATCAAATTGGTCAAAATAAGTCAAAATTGTCATTTTGAAAAACTAAACAAAACACAATCACACAACAACAACAAAAAAATACAACAAATCAAACAAAACCAAAACATACAAAAAACAAACAAAATCCAAAAACAAAACCACCCTAAGTGCTGTTTAAAAGTAAACAAAGACTCTGATCAAAAACTTTGCAACAAAATTAAACTAATTAAATGGCACACCTTTGTCCCTAGAGGATTTGTCCTTGTCTCTGTCTCCTCTGTCCTTTTCTCTGTCTCTGCTGCGACTGCGGTGCCGGTGGCTCTTGCGCTCAGAACTGCGGGACCTCCTCCTCTCCCTGCTGCGAGACCGTCGCTTCCTGTCCGAGCGCTCGCGGCTGCGCCTCCTCTCTCGGTCACGGCTCCTGTTGACGTGTAATATTTCGTCCATCAGTACAAGTTACAAAATCACAACTGCCACAACAGGTGACAGTAAAGTACGTTGAACCAGTACTGTTAAATAAATCAAATTATTAAAAACCGTTTTCGTTAACTAAAATGAAACATAAATAAATACAAGATGGGAAAAAAAACTAGAAAATTATAAACATTGCCTTGTCCACTGAAAAAAGAAAGCCGAACTTCTAAAATGACTAAAGCTGAAATAAAAAAAATAGAAATATTTGAAAACCCCACAAAAACAAAAAACCCAAACATTAACATAAAAATGAAAACTGAAAAATAAAATCCAATTTGAAATATAAATAAGTACTATAATAGCTTATCAATAAATTTGCCATTTCAACAAACAAATATATTTTGAAAACAAAAAAAAAATATTGTTTTGCACATTCTCAGCTCAGCTTGTGTGTCTAGGAGCTGTGAGAGTTGCGTACCTGCTGCGCTTCCTGTCACGTTCCTTACTCCTGGACCTCTTCCTGTCTCTCGAGCGGCTCCTGCGGCGGTCTGACGCGCGGCTGGAGTGTCTGCTGTTGGAGTGACTCCTCCTGCGCCTGTCCCTGTCCCGTTCCCTCTCCCGATCCCTATCCCTCTCCCGCTCACGTTCCCTCTCCTTCTCCCGCTCTCTCTCCCTCTCCTTTTCTCGCTCTTTCTCTCTCTCCTCCTCCTCTTTGCGTTTCTTCTCACGCTCCTCCCTTTCACGCTCCCGGTCCTCCTTCTCTTTCTTGCCTCGCTCATCCTTCTCCGGATCCTCTGAGCGCCGACGCAGCTTTTCCTGTGGGATCAAACAGAAAATCATGGTGTAAACATAACCAAATTTTTGATTTGTGCCAATCAAGTTAATTCAAAACCATGCATTACCAAATTATCTAACATTAAGAATTTGTTTTTCTTACAAAATGAGTCCTATGTTCTTGTTGAATTTTTCAAAAATAACTATATTGTAAAATATAGAACTGGAAGAAACGGACCCTAAATCAAAAGGTTGACCGTCACCTCACCTTCAGCTCCTCTACCGTGGCTTTGATTTTGGCATATCCCATATGCTGCTTGCCCATTAGATGATCATCCACTCTGGACTGAGCGTCACCAACTATGAGGAAAGCGCCACACACTTCACACACCTCCATCTGCTTCTCCTGAGCTGCAAAGCTCTCAATCGTCTGACAAACAAGAAATCATGTCAGTACCTTTTACAATCAAATACAAAAACAGGCCGTATGTCTGCTTAAACCTGGATGTGTTACTCACTGAAGGAGTGGAACTGAGCTGCTCCCGCTCCTCCTTCAGCTGCTCCACCAGCTTCATCATGCCCTGCGCCTCCTCAACACGGCCCTCTGAGCCCAACTCCTCAATCTGAGCACACACAAACACACATTTATATGCCTCTCTGAACACATTCGTCCTCATTTCTCAGCTTATGACAGGCAGAACCTACCTGAACAACAAGCTCCTCAATCTTCGTGGTGAGGACCTGAGATTTCTCCTCGTTCTTCCCAGATGGACCTGGTGCCTGGAAATCAGAGTTCGGAGTGAGTGGTGCTCGTCACACAGTGTACAAACGTCTTTTCCTATATTATTATTATAAAAACTGCATATGAATTTAATAGACTGCCCTAACCGGCTGGCTTGCTGAAGAGCCAGGCAATAAATATGTTCCAAAATCTTTGAAAGTGACGTGACATGTGGCCAAGTATGGTGACCCATACTAGGAATTAGTGCTCTGCATTTATCCCATCCTAAGTGCACACACACAGCAGTGAACACACACACACCGTGAACACACACCCGGAGCAGTGTGCAGCCATTTATGCTGCGGCGCCCGGGGAGCAGTTGGGGGTTCAGTGCCTTGCTCAAGGGCACCTCAGTCGTGGTATTGAAGGTGGGAGAGAGCGCTGTACATTCACTCCCCCCACCTACAATCCCTGCCGGTACGAGACTCGAACCCGCAACCTTTGGGTTACGAGTCCGACTCTCTAACCATTAGGCCATGACTTCCCCAAAGGTGGTCATATAAATAAGTAGACAGTGAAGGCTATGGAAATACTTACTCCAGAGTTCTGCTGGGCTTGAGACAGGGCTAAACGTGCATGGCCCCTCCGAATCCTGCGCTCCACCTCGGCCAGGAGACTCTGCAGGTACCGCAGGAAGTCTCGCTCATATCCTTCCTTCATAAAGCGGGAGCTCTTCTCATACCTAAGACAATGTGTAACAGTCAGGAGTCACAGGCTTTACTAAAAGAAAACTCATTCCAAATAAGATGCAGAACCACATTAGGAAACCTGTCAAGAACTAGATGTTTCTTTTATTTTTTATTTATTATTAATAATTTTGGGGTAGTAGTAGTAGTATTTTGTCAGCATCTTAGGCAATTTTCATGGCAAAAACTATTCAAAAATACAAGTGTAACAAATACAATAAAAAATCAGTAAACAAACAAGTTATATTACACACAATTTTTTTACATTAACATATGATACAAATTTTAAAACTTTTACTGGTAAAATTACACCAAATAATAATTTTGGGGTAAAATTAGAAATTGTTTTATGCTTAAAGAACATTTTTTAACAAGATCATTTTTAGAAACAAGATTTCTTGCTGTAGAACATGTTCATGGCAACCTGAAGAATAATTCTAATAAAAAAAATAATTCTAGTATAAAATCTAGTAAACGTAACTGTAAATAAAACATAGTATATTTGTACAGTAATGACAATCACTATTGAGAACAATGGGAATAAAAAATCTGCCCAGGTATTAGAGTAAAAATGATTCGATTTTTTGCATTATATAATAGAAAATTGTGAGGAAATTCATGTTAATGAATCTGTCAGAATTAAAAAAAAAATTTATATGAATATTTATGTTAATATTAATGGTTCTAAAAAACAAAATTAACTTTTTATTTTTTTACCATCTGATTTGGGATGTTTTCATGACATTCACCCAACACAGTAGTAACTTACATTTTCCTCAAGTTTTCATCATGGATTTTTTCACAAGGACCTGGGAAAAAAATTATACATTACAATGTGGATCGCAAGAATAAAATGAGACAAATGTATTTGAGAAGCTGTCCTTACCCAAGTCTGATCGTGTGTTTGTGAAGAGTTCAGCGGGGCAAAAGCCACACAGGTAGTATTTGCAGACCTGAAGAAAAAGAGTGAACACTTGTGTTAAATCCTCACGAGTACTCGAATTAGTGGTCAACCGATATTGGTTTTTTGACAGCCGATGCCGATATCTTGGAAAGCAGGGTGGCCAATGGCCGATATAAAGCAGACATAATTTTATTTATTTTAATTAATATTTAAGACATTTGAAATAATTTGAAAATGGATTAAAAAAAAAATAAGTGTGTTAAATAAACATACTAATACTTTAGATTAAAGTATTTTTCACAAATAAATAAATATTTAATAAAAATATAATTATAAAGGAAGTAAGCACTGTAACCAACAGGGCACTCAGTATTCTGGGAAGTCTGTGTGCATTGGGAATCATATTTCTACAAATAAATAATAATAATAATGATGCATTTTATTTAATGTCGCCTTTCAAAACACCCAAGGTCACCTCACAAGCAAGCGAAGATAAAAATAAATACAAATCACAAAACACTCCGCATATACAGATAAAGTGCAGGAAAGACTCAATAAAACATAAGAAAACCTGTATAAAAAGATATGTCTTAAGACGCATTTTAAAAGTCAGCAGGCAATCGCTGTTGCAAATATCAGGGGGAAGGGAGTTCCATAGGCGGGGGGGGCAACATAGCTAAAAGATCTGGCACCCATGGTAATTAGTCGAATCCGAGGTACCACAAGAGAAATTAAAGATGAGGATCTGAGAGCACGTGAAGGGGTGTAAACATGCACAAGCTGAGTAAGGTATTGGGGTGCAAGATTATGAAGTGCCTTGTAAGTAAGTAGCAAGATCTTGAATTCAACTCGATACTTTACTGGAAGCCAGTGCAATTGCTGAAGAACTGGAGAAATAAAGCCAAGGTAATACTCATTTTACATACAGGACATGAATATGACAGTGGGCAAATGGCTCAAGTCAAAACAGGCCACCACATACTCCATGATGTTTCGGTATCTATGTGTGACCCTGGAGCACAAAACATAATAGCACGGGTATATTTGTAGAAATAGCCAAAAATACATTGTTTGGGTCAAAATGGTCAATTTTTCTTTTATACCAAAAATCATCAGAATATTAAGTAAAGATCATGTTCCATCAAGATATTTTGTAAATGTCCTACTGTAAATATATAAAAACTAAGAACTTCATTTGGACAACTTTAAAGGCTATTTTCTCAATATTTACATTTTTTTTTGCACTCAGATTCCAGATTTTCAAATAGTTGTATCTCAGCCAAATATCGTCCTATCCTAACAAGCCATACATCAATGGAAAGCTTATTTATTCAGCTTTCAGATGCAAAAATCTCCATTTCAAAAAAATTCAGGGTCACACATGTATCTATAAGGTCGCCCCTTCGGCGTAGCTCTTGTGTGATTGATCAGTTTTAAGACCACAGAAAGAATAGTAATATAATCCCTCTCCTCAAGTCACATTAATTGAACAGTCATATGTAGCTCAAACGGTGCTGGACGAGTTACACGCAAAAGTTTGACACTCAGCGCTTGTTGCAAACTAATAAAAGCTATTTTATCTTAGAAAAGCACATAATAAAGATATAAAGAGGAGGGCGGCGTGTTTCGCGCATGTGTTCAACAATGAGACACGAGCTTAGCGTGCTAAGCTAACGGATCCAAACAACCTGGACAAACTAGCGCACAACACACCGCTCAGCTAAGCTTATATAAATTACAAGCAAACACATCTAGATCTGTTCTTTAGCTAGTTTAGTGATCTGCAGAGCTGTGTGTGTGCGAGTAAGTGACTGTATTAATCTGCTGGTCAGCGCACTCACAGTCTCGTGATCCCAGCGCACGTTACAGCGCTTCTCGTCCGGAGCCAGGTTCCGGTCCCGGCCCATCAACTCATCGAGTAACTGGGCAGCAGAGAGCATCGTGCCTCGGCTTTACTTCTGACCCGCTATAAGAGATGATTATTGTTCATTTACAGGATATCGTGTGCTGCGTCCCTGCTCGGATCTCAACAACAAAATGGCAGCGCGCAGTGGGTGTTACCCATAAGGCACCGCGAGGAACAGTCGTTAGTGCGCCATCTAGTGTATGGGGTGACATGACGTTTACAAATTAAAGGGATAGTTCATCCAAAAATGAAAATTTGATGTTTATCTGCTTACCCCCAGGGCATCCAAGATGTAAGTGACTTTGTTTCTTCAGTAGAACACATATGATGATTTTTAACTTTAACCGTTGCAGTCTATCAGTCGTATAATGCATGGCAATGGTAACAAAATCTATGAGAGTAAAAAAAACATGCACAGACAAATCCAAATTAAACCCTGCGGCTCGTGACGACACATTGATGTCCTAAGACACGAAACGATCGGTTTGTGCGAGAAACCGAACAGTATTTATATCATTTTTTACCTCTAATACACCACTATGTCCAACTGCCTTGAGCGCCCGCACAGCATCCGGTGCGTGAGGTGTGTACGCGTTCTGGCGTAGTTTACGTTAATGGGTGTGTTGATATCCAGCCGAAGAGCAATCAACCATAACTTCAGGCGAGCAGGCTCACAAGTTGGGAATACGTGGAAAGTCCCCACTCCCGAATGAGTTCGCGCGAGAGAAAGTAATCTTTTAGTTTTAAGTCGGTTTGAACAATCCGGATAAGCGCAAGTAAGTACCATTTTGATTAGCCGTCATACCTACAATGAATGTGCACTGTGTAAACAATGAGTGAAGTATGCGCACAAGAGATCACTTCCGGCGCTTGCGTAAACTACGCCAGAGCGCGTACACACCTCACGCACCGGATGCCTGCGCGCGCCCAAAGACAGTTGGACATAGTGGTGTATTAGAGGTAAAAAATGATATAAATACTGTTCGGTTTCTGGCACAAACCGATCGTTTTGTGTCTTAGGACAT